ATTTGTGTACAACTTGTATTTGAATGGAAGTAGTGCATAGACTTACTTCTCACGTAATTTTACATTATGGAAATTAACCAAATGAATAAAATTATGTATACAAATCAATATCAGGGGTACTGTCACATAGGTGATTGTTGGTAGAGAGAAACTAATGGAAACATTCATATGATCATATATATTTGTGAAATGTTGATTATGTATATAACCCGCGTATTATACATAGTTTTATTAATAAAAGATGAAAATGAAAGATTTAGAAAACACTACCTGACTTGCTCGATGTGTCATTTTGGTGTGTTGTGTTTGTCTCCCTCTAGTGGTGTTTTGGCGATGTCATTGTACGAAGTAATGTATTTCACGGTGAACTTTGATTTGTGTTTCAACTTCACATCACATCACATTGAGAGAGAGAGAGAGAGAGAGAGAGAGAGAGAGAGAGAGAGAGAGAGAGAGAGAGACAGAGGGGCAGACAGACAGACATAGAGAGATGAGAGAGAAAAGAAAAGAGATAATGCCATTATCTTGTCATCAAACTATGTTCGCATCAGCCCCTATCAAAAATGTTATAGTGATACTATATAACAGGGGTTCTCAAACTTTTTCTTTAACGGTCCAGATATGATTTCTATGAAAGATGTAGGGTCCGAAACATAGGATGCCATTCGCCTGAAAATTCTTATGTTCGATCGTATAATATGATTGTTGGAAAGCCGGGCACAACTCAAACATTGCTCAATTTTGTTTCAGACAAACTACTCCTAAATTTAACAATAATGACACTTGTATAATTGAGGCATGGTTTAGGTCCATATCTTATCCAAAGAGAACTGTTACAAGAGCCGTCAGTACTTTCACTCGTTTAATAGAGTTTCCTAAAAATAAAAAAAAAAACCTAATTTCCTGGAATTTGATGGAATTTTCTTCAAACGTTCAACAACAAAAATGCATCTATCGTGGTTTGTTATTTGGATGAAGTGCCCAAAGTCAGGGGCGTAGACAACGGGGGGGGGGGGGGGGGGGGGGGATGAGGGGGATGCATCCCCCCCACCTCACAAGGTGGGGAGGATGGCATGTACAATCATCCCCCCCAGGTTTTGGGGAATGATATTTGCTTACTTAATAAGTCATAATGATGATAATAATAGTAATAATAATAATGATAACAATTATAATATTAATAATAATAATAATTATGATGATGATAATAATAATCCTCATCATTATTGTAATTGTGTTTATTGTTATTAGCCACATTCACACGGTGAAAGCCAATTCAGACGGTAAAAAAAGAAAATCTTACAAGTATTTTGTGGTTATCTTGTGGTTTGGAAACCACAAGATAACCACAAGATAAAACAGGCGCGGATCTACGGGGGGGGGGGGGGGGTTAGGGGGTTTAACCCCCCCCCCCTTGGGCGGCCCAAAAAACAAACAAAAAAAAAGGGGGGGGGAAAGAAGAAAAAAAAAAAGAAAAAAAAAAAAAAGAACGCACGCTGCATGGAGAGAAACCCTTGCAAGTGCAAATATTGTGAGAAGATATTCAACTCATCTGGTAACTTAACCAAACACATGATAACTCTGGATATAACTGTGTATTTAACTGTTACTTGATTTAAAAAGACGTTATCATGCACTGCTTTTTATGGTCTCCATTGTGTTAATAGATGCCAGGAAAACATCACTTACGGGGTTCAAATGAACACCCCCCAAAAAATCGGCTCGCCGCTTCGCGGCTCGTGGACGATGCTCCGCATCGTTATTATTGGTCAACCCCCCTTAGCAAAAAGCTAGATCCGCTCCTGAGTCATCCCCCCCAGGTGTACGAACCTGTCTACGCCACTGCCCAAAGTCATACGACTTGTCGCACAGTACCAGATTATGAGCTTTGAACTTTAAAGTTTGGAACAACAATAATTTTTCATTAAGAGGAATAGGGTAAAACTATACATTTCTCAGCGGCGGTTCCCTGATCTTGTTTAAGGGGGAGATGTGGTCGAAGGCAACGAGTGCGCGAAGCACATTGCAATCGCACGTAAACGCTAGCCCTTCTGGATGGGGTCAGGGGTCAAGAGGCAGACTGGCAGAGCACATATATTTTTTATAAATGAATTACTTATTGGGGCTTATTTTGCTTTCTAACGGATCCGTACAACCAGGGGCGTACGCAGGATTTTTCCAAGGGAGGGGCCGGGGGGGGAGTTTGGGGGGATTCTAGCGATGCATTGTTATCTGTCTTCGCTCCAGTGAACTCCAGGCAGCAGGCAACAAGAAATTGTTGTCTTCGGATAGGGCGCAGGGGGAAATTCTTTGCCGGAAGTCTGAGGTGGAGGGGGGGGGGGGACTGACAATGAAACATCACCGATTACAGAAGAAGTACTTATCAATTGCATTCAGCATCATTTGTATTTCACACAAGTACTAAATAACTCAATGAAATTGATATTAACTTGAAGGTACTTTAATTATCGATTTTTTGGGACCAAATCCATGGTGATTACAGGTTTTACTTAAAGTTATCTTTAAAGCTCGATGTAAACACACCAAACATGTCCTCAATACACTGATACACGTACATGGATGCAGTAATACACAGGTGGGCAAAAATGTCGTTTTTGTGAAAATCAAATCAATAACTTTGGATTGCTTTAACTTTTCACTGAAAAGAGATATACGTCTCTCCTTTGCACATGATACTGTCCTTATACATGGGCAAATTCCTGGAAAGTAACAAAAAAGGCACCTCTACGATAGGAATTACCTCACGCAACGTTGCGTCAAGAGAGCGTCAAAACCTTGTTCCGACGTTAAGTCCAATACCCCCAAAACGGCACGGTCAATCATCGTAATCAAGTTGGAACTTGGTACACTTAAGTGCTCAATAGTCTTCCTTAGCTCTACGAATATGAATTACCTCACACAGCGTTGCGTCATCAGAGCGTCAAAAACGTTGTTGCGACGTTAGGTTCATACCTCCAAAACGGTAAGGTCAATCAAGTTGTCCCTCAGGGGTCCCTTCTTGGCCCCCTTCTATTCATATTATATATTAATGATTTTTATCTTTCATCTGATGTACTATCTTTCATATTTTTTGCAGATGATTCAAGTGTATTTTTTTCTCATAAAAACTCTGAAGTTTTATTAGATACAGTTAATATTGAATTAAAGAAAGTTATTTTGTGGATTCATGCAAATAAGTTGTCCTTGAATCTTCAAAAGACAAACTATATGTTTTTTAGTAACTCCCTAAAGGATGTACCTGGAAATGTATTTGTTGATGATGTTAACGTTGTGAGAGTAACTTCCACCAAGTTTCTTGGGCTACATATTGATGAGAAGCTGTCTTGGGCATCTCATTGTACTAATATTTGTAAAGTCGTGTCTAGAAATACTGGTGTAATTTATAAATTAAGTTCTTTTGTCCCACAAGAAATTTTGCTTATTTTGTATTCTACTTTAATTTTGCCTTATCTCAATTATGGAGTGCTGGCATGGGGGAAGTCATTGAAAACACAATTAGATAAGATATGTGTTGCCCAAAAGAGGGTGGTTAGAGTTGTTTTTAATGCGAGCTATCGTGCTCATACTAATGTTTTGTTCTACAGTAATAAGCTTTTGAAGGTTGAAGACATTTACTTTATACAGTTAGGCGCAATTATGTATGGTTTTGAAAATGGTACTCTCCCAAATGCGTTAGTACAAATATTTCGAAAGAACAATCAAATTCATAGCTATAATACAAGGCAGGCAACTGCACTTCATATTCCACGTGTAAGAACTGCTTTTGCTCTGAAGACGCTGGCTTGTACTGGTCCCAAATTTTGGAACTCACTTCCTATCAATGTAACTAGATCTGTCAGTGTCTTTGTTTTTAAACGCAAATTGAAATTACATTTATTGAGTAACTATGTCGACAATTAACGTAAAATTATATCACCAGAAATGATATTAGGTAATAATTTGTCAATTGTTATTGATAACGTGCATTATCTTTTTGTTTTTGTTATGTTTGATTATTCAATATAAATGTCAGCATTTCACATTCTCTCTCTCCTCCCCCACCCCCCCCCCCCCCCTCCTCTCTTCTATTTTTCTTTTTTTTTACACCAAATACCATTTTCCCCTATATACATATAACTTTCTTCTTTCTCTGTTTTTCTCTGTTTTGTTGTTTTTCTCGTTCCAGTTTGCTTTTTCCCTCTCGATTCCTTTGTATATATTTTCATCCTCTCCTTTACAAATGTCAAGCTATCCCTTTTGTAAATATTCCCCCCATATTTAATCATGTGTAGTTTTGATAACTTTGAAACATTTTTTAAAAGTGAAACATTGATGGATTATTTTATATGGGGACCTTGCTCTTACAAGCCCAGCTTTTCTAAGGTCTCCACTTTCTTTCATTTGGATTATATATCGACTTAAAATTGTACTTAAATTGTTTTTTCTTATGCTGTTTTTTTGTTCTACTATTATATGTAAAAATGTTGTGAAAGAAAGAAATAAAATGAACCTTGAACCTTGAACCTTGAAACTTGGAACAGTATCTGTATAACTGCCATCACGTTAATGTTGCATCGACAGAGCGTCAAAATGTTGTTCCGACGTCGATATATCTCTAAAACAGCACCGTCAATCATGGTAAAACTAATTACAGAGTATTAAACTTGGTATAATGATTTTCTTAATTATGTATCATCATCATCATCACCATATAGTCGTTATCAATACACTTACCGTTATCAATCATGATCAGTGTCATCATTGTGTTCAAGTTCCTAATCGTCATCGCAACTGTCGTAAGATAATTGAACACAAACCACGAACATACCTTTATTAACAAGTATAAATCTCTCATTTATTTATTAATTTGTTATTTATTGTTACGTTATTTATCGTTTCATTTTTATTTATTTATTTATTATTTCATTTATCTATTTCAGTTTTTATTTATTTGACAGGGGGTAAACTGCCCCTTAATCCGCTTTAAATACGCCAGAGTATTCACCCATGACCTCCCGCAGCCTCCCAGCCAACTACCTATTGAAGGCATTCATTCTGAACATCCACCAGCAATCGTGTCTGCAAGCTGCCTTCAGAAGACTTTCCGGAACATTTGTTATCGATAAAGGCGCATTCTCAGTTGATCTAACATCTTTGATTTAACAGGTAAGACCTTGATTATAATTTCTAATGATCATCATAATTCTTTTTCTTTGGTGAGTCCAGGGGTAGGTTCCTAGAAACCGTCATAAGTCTAACTTCTTGACTATCCCATTGAAACCCGTGTTAATTCTATAACACACGTTTCAATGGGATAGTCAAGAAGTTAGACTGATGACGGTTTCTAGGAACCCACCCCAGGACGCAATAACGCAACTTTCAGCGACACTTGCTTATACATGTTTATATTGCTCTACAAAACAAATCTGCCATAATTATGTGAGAGGAAGAGATTATTATTTGTCTGCGGTACGATTGTATAGCAGACAAATGTTGTTTGTATCTTTAATGAATGCATACTTATGTTGGGTCCGGGGCTGTGGCCCGATGGAATGTAATTTGCAAAGGCAGCTCGTACAGGTGTGCGAGCTAATTCTGCCACGGAGACCAGGGCGTGGCATAAATTAGTGTGTAATTGGATCATTCTAGCTTGAGCTTTAAACGAGAAAACTTTTATTTACATTAAAAGTGCGTTGTGTCATGTAGTGTTACATGACTGTGTTTGAATAAGGTTTTCCAGAGTTTTTATGCTCGTTGAGTTTTATCTCTGGTTTTTTTATCCTGGACCATGATAGGTCCGGTTTCCAGTGAAGGAATTAAACGAGAAGAAATGTTTGTTAAACATTCATACTGAATAAACGGCCGGCTCTCAGTAGTCGTTGTCAGGCTATTCCACAATAATTGAAGTGTATTATTGTGTTATTTGTGTGTATTGGGAGTCAAGAGGGATGACAGACGAAATAATTATAGGACAGACGATACGGTACTCGCTTGTATTATTTTTAGTTTCACCTATAAAATGTACTTATGGAAATAAATGGTCAACATTAAATTGGTTAGTCTTTAGCAAGTGTCTCATTTTAATTAAATATTGCTACAGACAATGATTTACGTCATTCAACAAAATATTGTGGCCTGCCAGTGACAAAATATTTGTGCTTCTCTGACCGTAATTACATGCCTAAAACCCCTGAGCTTCCGGGTCTCAGCCCTCTGAACCCCTTGCTACCCTCTATGATCGTAAATACTTTAGCCCCACACTTTGATAAACGTTCCGCGGGGCCTGTGTAGATGCCCTTTTTAGATGCGCATAAAACACTGATCTTTATGATGTCTTTAACGTGACATTAGTTTCTTCTCCCCTTGCGAACGAGAAAGAAAACAAGGTCACAAAAACGGATTAAGCGACGAATAATGATTGTGATTTAAATTGTGCAAATATCTGTTTGAATCCAGAATCCTCTTTGTAAAAACAAATTTTACAAATCTCAGCCATGCTTACTGAGTTGAGACGTTCCATTCAATTTAAACTACTCATTAAAGAATATACTTCTCCTAATCTGAAAGTGATCTTACAGCACAGTGGCAGAATAGCATGGCTGAGATTTGTAAAAGTCGTTTTTAAAAAGAAGATTCTGGTAAAAGCATTGCTTATTCAAACAAAATCTTTGCATCAATTTGAATCACAATGATTATTTGTCGCATCATGGACCTATTACGGATGGACAATCATCGTTTTCTTAACGAATTCATTGTGATTGTCTCCGTCAATGTCGTCTCAATAAATTGATAGTCGCCGCCTTCTGATAATGTGCATCTGAATGAGAACATTCATCTGTTTTGACAATAACGACTGCGTAAGCATTTTCGGTCATTGACAACGGAGCAGTTTCCCTCTCTTGGGTTTTGTTTGGATGGTGTGCTCTGTAAGAGTGTGTCTTAAATGAAAGCATCCCCAATGGGGAGCAGCAAAGTTGAAAAGCAGACGATTTTGGTGATATGAAATGTATTATTACTGATTCGCACACTTTCGCACACACCCATGACCTTATAAAACAGTTAGAAGGCCATGATCTTTATGAGCCCTGTGCTTTGTAACTCTGGAACATTATGAGGAAATAGGGGGATACGGGATTTTAAATCACAACCCCAAAATCCAAAAATAACCTCTATCTGGTAATATCAACATGTTTTTCAAAATAAAATACATGTACAGTACACGGAACAACAATTTCCGATTATATGTCAGAACTGCACATCGATTTTCCATGATTTTAGGCGAGTTTTTATCTTCTGCGCATGTAGATTAACATGTGTAAAATTATATCTTGATTCTGTCCCGGCTTTTTGGCGGTGACCATCATGAGATCAAAGTGACGAAACATGTACGGAATGTTATTGAGATGACATTGACGGAGAAAATCACAATGAATTCGTTAAGAAAACGATGAATGTCCATCCGTAATAGGTCCATGCTCAGACTAAGGACTTTTAAGAGCT